GTTCAGAGAAGCAGTTTAATTATGTTTATTAGTGCATGTGCCATAATTTGCTGCGCTTGAATAGGCATGCAGTCTTAGAATAGACAAACACCCAGCGCCTGAGGCGAAGACGAAACTGCCCACCCCGACGCAAACTCCATTTTTTTGCCGTTTTTTGGTTACTGCAAAGTTGCCCGGAGATATTCTAAAAGGCTGTAGATCCGTGACAAACATCGGGAAAGAACATCTAGAGGAGTATCTCGAGACCATGGAGGATTATATAAATATGTGATCATGCAGGTGTTCTTACGAATTAGCTAGGATAGTCAGGCACACGGCTCAATCGATTGCTGCAGGCACCCTACCTCTACAAGTTGGTTGCTCGGCGCTAGAGCTTTTTCTGCACAAGCAGGTTGATAAGTAGCGATGTGTTCCAGTGCAGTCATGCAGAAACAGGAGCTTGAGAAGTGTTTTGCAAATGTGTGCAAGCATCATGATGTGGAGGTGGTGAAGAAGAATGGCAGCCCAGCGGAAACAGAGGCTGTCGCCCAGTTGCATCCATCCGCATATATTCATGAGATGTATCAAATCATCAAATCATATCCATAAGTTTGCGTTGGCTTGGTGTCACACGTTTGATGTGAATGCTTTGGTTGGATCTTCGCCAGCCGGTAATTACAATAGTCAATAGTCGAAGCAGCTTGTGGCCTGTGTGGCGCTGAGGTGTGCCTCAATGTGGGCTTCAGGACAGTTGAAATTCTTGAAGGTAGACTGCTGCTGAATGGCAGAAACTTGGCAGAAGTCGAGCTTCTTGTGTGGGTTGTTTGCCACTCACGGCAATCCTGCGACAGGCCCCGGTCACCGGCCAAAAGGCTTTCAGGCTTTTGTTGTACTCAGGTGAGTTGACCATTCGTGGAGTGAACAGACACGAGCACCACCCGACGAAAGGACATGTGGTTGACAGAGAGTCTATGATACAGGCGCCTCGACATGAGAATTCAATCGCTCGTGTCGTGTGTACCTCTAAAAAGACGGCACCCCCTGGGTCAAGTGCTGGATCAACCAATTTGTTTTTGTGTCGCACAGGGTGTTGCATTGAAAGTTTTGGTGGTTAGGACATGTGAGCTACCGATGTATATTCAATTGTAGATGTTCAATGATCAGGTGTTTGTTGGCGGGAGTGTTGACGGGTGTTTGGTGTTCTAGCACAATCTACCACAATGATTTCAGGACATCCAGATGATGAAAGAAAACAATTTTAATGCCGTGCGATGCGCTCACTATCCGCGGCTCTCTTTGCAGTAAGTGCCCCTGCGTTCAATATGGCTTAACATGTGTGCGGTCATGGGCATGTTTTGACCTTCAAAACCCGAAATCAACAAAGACTTTTCACCTTACGACAGTTCATGTGGAAGTTGGAGTTGGAGATACAATGAATTTTGCCAAACGTGCGGCTCGCCACTCAGATAGGGCCGATAGGGATCAAATATGTTGCACCTTGCCAAGGAACGACATCATGTTTTATGAATTGTGCGATGAAATGGGGCTTTATGTGGTGGACGAAGCAAATATTGAGAGCCATGGAGTAGATTTTGACTGGTCGAAGACCTTGGGAAACAAGGACTTTTGACTTGCTATGGCAGTTGGAACGTGCAGCTGGTCAGTTTGACATTATATATAAGTTGATAAACATATGGAACATTATGGAACATAGACATGTGTAACCGTGCAACTTGCAACCTTTTTGGTGAGCAAAATTGCCGCAGGAGGAGTGGGGAGAGGCGCACCTCGCCCGAGTGCAGCGCTATGTTGCCCTGGCCTCAAGCTATCGTACATAATACTGCCGGAATGGGCGGGATTCAAAAGTTAGACAAAATGCATGGGGGCTGTCTTCGGGGAACTAGGCAAGTCATTGGTTGAGGAGCGGGACAAGAATTTCCCCAGCATCATTTTCTGGTCTTTGGGAAATGAAGCAGGCAACGGAATCTCGGAAGCACAGGAGCACAAGCACAGTTTGGACGGGACACTTCTACTTCTGAATCATAGAGAGCCGAGGAATCAATCACTACAGCACGTATGCGCCACCTGGCTGAGCTGGACTCCCACCGATTGGCTGTGGAAAGCCAAGCCATCTCCTGAGATATTGTCGCCCCGAGGTGGCTGAAAGGAAGGGATCCTACACGACCAGTTCAATACGAACATGCTCGAAAAGAACCAACATGGACCACACACAATTTGGAGACGATTGACGTGGCCTCAGTCGTCCCGTCACCACCTGGCATCATGACCAAAGGAGGATGTTGTCATTGAAATGCACGTTTCTTTGTCGCAGTTTTTTCACAGTGATGTTCACGTCTTGGATGTGTATTTGGATGTTTTTGGTCAAATTGTTGCAGTTCATCCAGAACATAGATCATGAGCTGTTCCAAGACCAAGCAAGGCAACAGCTCAGCTGTTGAGAAAGCAGCCAGGGTGAGCTGGCATCCTTCGCGGGTTCGTTGGTACAGTAAATCAATCTATATAATATATATATATATATTATATATATATAAATTAATGCCGAATCTGAGGCAACATTGATTAGCTTAGTTAGGCAGTGTCAGGTTTGCAACACGCTCGTTAGAACCGGAGTTCTTGCAGATGTTTGTGAGGTTTGTGTTGCATGGGCCAGCACAGGTAGAATGGCTCGGCTTGTCTAGGTTGAAAGGCTTGTTCCACACAAGAACGGCATACAATAGGGATTGCCGTCTCAACTAGGATGTGTGCAGACAGTTCTTGCAGAGGTATGTACGGCATTATATACTAGATATTTATATGTTTGCATTTGTATTTAAAAATATGCCAAGAGAGCCAACGTGTGACGACACACCTGCTGATGCTACAGTGGCTAAACTAGCCGATGCACCCAACAGCGTTTTGCCCAACTTATTGCAGCGCGAGAGCCAGCAAACTTTGTCCTAGATCATTGTGTTTGGCTGAGTGCAATTAGGCACGGTTCTGCCCACTTTTGTTAGTGGAAAAGACATGTGTCATGATTTGTCGATCTAATGGGCAAAACGCCTTTGGCCCAAAGTGGGTTGCAAAGCGGGAAAGTGGACAAGCGAGAGAGAGAGAGAGAGAGCCGGCATAATTATGTGCATGTATCAATGCGCAAGGATGCAAACCGCCCTATTTCAAGGCTTACGCCTAACAGCGGGCCGGGCAGGCAAGCAGGGCATGTGCAGGCCCGCTGTGGATTTCTTTTCTCTTTCGCGTTCGGTGGAGTCATCGCGAAGTCCACTTTATCTTTATCTTTCTCTGACTCTTCCTGTTTCTCCTTCTCATTCCTTCCCCTTTCTCTGTCTCTTCCTCTTTCCTTGTCTCTTTCTCTGGCTCTTCAATTTGTTTCTCTCTCTCTCTCTCTCTTTCTTTGGCTCTTCCTCTTACTCTGTCTCGTCTTCTTTCTCTTCCTCTTGCTCTTTTTCTGTCTCGTCCTCTTTCTTGTCGTTTTTCCCTGTCGCTTATTTCTCGGAAGAGAAATAAAATGCTAAGAACTATCTTTCTCTTCCATGTTCTATCTCTGTCTCTTTCTCTAGAGAAGAAGAGCAAGCATAAGCACAAAATGCTAATCATGCAAGGTCACTCGGGCAGCATCTCATGCATCACGGGCCCTTGAAAACGACCTCACATCAATCACCATATCAATCTTGAAACTATATGTTGGTCCATCTTCCAGTCTCTTGAGAAAAGTCGACCAAAAAATTCATCTGTCGACGCTCTCCCAGGTGCCAGGGCCTGCCCGGCCCGATTTGAGGAACGCCGAGAGGGGTCGGGTAGCTGCGGGCAGGGCGCCCCGCAGTTGAAGCCAGGCACACCGCATGGAGGGCGGCGGGGTCCTTATCGTCGCCTGGCGGCGGCGCGCGCGCGTGTGGCGGCACACCGCGATGTGCTTGGCTTTAATCCCGTGCCGCCTCAATCCAAAGGGCGGGAGCCGAACCCGCGCCCAAAGCCTGGCGCAACGCTTTTCCTGAGAAAAAAGTCTTGACTAGAGAAGAATTTAGATAAATGCCACTGACGCGGCATTCTTTGGGCAAGTGTTTGTCAACGACGGCTGAGCAACATCGCCCACCGCCCACCGGAGTCCTTCAACAGGAACACACCGGCCCCGCTCCGGGGTGGGCGGAGTGCTTTTCGTGGTGGCAAACATGGTTTTGCCACTGGACTTGCTTGAGCTGAGGACAAGAATACTGACATCTATTGTCCGATGTACCCAAGCCACTTGAAGTTGGAAAAATATGGAGAACTGTACGACAGCGATGTAAATGCGCTTCCATTGATCATGGTGGAGTACGCGCACGCAATGGGCAACACCTTGGGAGCATTCAGGGAGTACTGGGATATGATCTACAGATACGGTGTGCCCGTGCGCCATTCATTTGCATTGTGTTATTTTCGCGGCTGCTGAACGTGTTTGACAAAGTTGTTTGTATGCCCATTCGTTTTTGCGTCCAAGGTGCTGCAGGGTGGTTTTATTTGGGACTGGGTCGACCAGGGCTTGGAAACGCAGAAGAATGGGAAGACGATTTGGGCATTTGGCGGTGACTTTGGTGCGAAGGGCACCCCTTCGGACCTGAATTTCTGCATCAATGGCCTTGTGCAGCCTGACCGGACGCCCAGCCCACATTTGTTCGAGGCGAAGAAGGTAATGCAGCCCGTGACTTTTCGAGAGGACATTGAAGCCGGGACGATTGAAATCCAAAACCGTGACTTTCCAGCAATTGGTGCATCATATAATCCTCGTCATCACCCAGCTGGATTAGAGCACTCACTGTGACATCTACCTGCGCAGGCTACGACTTCCTTTCCCTGGACCACTTGGATTTCTTTTGGCAAATTACTTTGAACGGCTCGGTTGTGGAGAGTGGACAACTGCAAGGCAGCTGGTCAAGTGGGAGGATAGTCTCGAAGAGGAACATCAGCACATGGGTTGATGCTTCTCTTTGGGAACTAAAGTCCATTTGCAGAGCGGAGTTTTGTTCATCGCAGGTATACAGGCTGAAGCTCATGGATCACACACGATCAACATGCCAAAGCCTACCATCATTCAAGCTTCTTGCAAGCGCTTTTGACATGCAGGAGCTTGTCAGTTTGTGGGCAGTGCGTACCACTTAGGAAGCCTTTGGAGAGTACCATTTGCTGGTTTCAGCCTATATGAGCGCCCACCCTCGCAATAGCTGCTGTTTAAGCTGCAAAATGTTTTACAGATGTTGCTGTCATAACTTCACAGCTTGTGACTCATGTAGACATTCTCTAATGTATGGAAAGATGTGAAAAAGACAACCGCAGCTTGCCACAGGTTCAAGATGGTTCAAGCACTATCAAAATATTACGTTTTGCCGTGTTTTGCAATTTCACCATTTGGTACTAAGGGGAAACAAAGAGCTGCTTGCCAAAGGGCTTGGAGGTGGCCTGGGAGCAGTGGCATCTTCTCACCAACGCGCCCGTGCCTCATCCCTTAAAGAAAGATGTCATTGTTGTTTCATCACAGCGCGCATGGTTGAACATATGACCTATATAACGCACGCTCACGTTAAATCATTGATTTCTGCTCAAGTCACCGGATATATATATATATATGTACAGTGTGTCAATGGTTGAGCTCTGCCGTGCATTCTATTGTGAACTCTTGGCAGCAATACAAAGATATCAAGTGACGTCAAGTGGTTGCAAGACGTGTATATATAATTGCAATTGTAGTTGTCTAGTTAGTCTAGTTGTCTAATATGTTGTCACATTGCAGAGACTTGTTGACGTTTCTTATTCTGACTGCCCGCTTTTAGGAGTGCTTTCAGCAAAAGTGTCAATGAGACAGCTTTGGGTTTCAACACTGTCCTTCAGCATTCTTGGATGCTGAAAAGTTGATTTCAAGGATGCACTTGTTCAGGTTCCAATTGCTAGTATCAGTGGCTTGGAGCCCAAAATTCAGACCGAAGCAACCGGCCTCACCGTGGTTGCCGGTGAACTTGTAGCACGTGCTTTGACTGCACCTGAGCTTTTACAGGGTTTGGCTGAACATAAATTGCACTGAGATTGAGAGGGATTGAGCATGTTGTAAAGCATTTTGGAATTTGCACTCTGCTTAGGCCTTGGCCGCCGATCCAGTGAAGGAGCTGGCTGCCTCACTGGGTTGGCATTTCGAGGATTGGAACTGCTGGCAGCGCCATTGCAGCCAAACTTTTGGCGTCCACCTACTGACAACGACTATGGACGGGTGTTGCAGTTGCTGTTTTGCTCAAACCAAGCTGCAGACCCTTTGCATGTCCTACTACTCCCGTCTCCCTCTCTCTCTCCCCCCCCTCTCTCTCCCTCCCTATCTCTCTCAACTGCAGAGGAGCAAATCTTCATAAAGATTGTGCTTGCTGGCGATTTGCCGGACAAAAGGCGGTTCTGCTGCCTAGCCAACTTCTACACACATGTAGTGTGGAGGGAAGTGCAAATTTATAAATCAATATATATAATATAACATAAATATATAATTCGAGGAGCGCAAAGGAACTTTGGACAAGACTGTGCCCAGTCAAGCAGCCCAGGTTGGAAGATTTGCAGACCGTGCCACAGCCAGCATTTGTTGACATCAGTGGAGTGCTTGCTGTTGGAGGAGGAGCCTGCTGCTTCATGAACGAGATGTCAGGGAAGAGATTGGACATGCAAGTTGTGTGTTGGAGAGTCCCTACATTGCACAAGTAGCTTGCACACTGTATCACCATGTCACTACGTCACACTCGCAATAATGCTCAATTTCAAGAAGTTTGGCATTGCTGCATAACAAACATGGATCATCAATGATCCTCCAGGAGGTGCAAAGCTTGCCGTGACCTACTCGATTTCCTCAGTTGGAGTCAGAGTGGCTGCTCAGTGGCGCCCTTTTGCTGACCAAGGGCCGCGGCCAGCACTGGTCGGAGGTATAGGAGCCATGAATGAAACCTGAATGTTTCAAAACATCATAAAACATCTAGAATCTAGAAACACATAGGAAACAATTATATAGTGGTGCGGGGGCTTCCTGTGTCGCTACTACCTACTGCTGCTACTACTACTACTACAACTACTGCTACTACCACTACCCCTACCCCTACCCCTACCACTACCACGACCACTACTACTACTACTACTACTACTACTACTACTACTACTACTACTACTCCTGCTCCTACTCCTACTCCTACTCCTACTCCTACTGCCGCCGCCGCCGCCGCTACCAGAGACTACTAGCTACCTGAAGCTCACCTCACGCCCTACCACGCCACCCCGGGACATTAAGAGACCCACATACAGACACTTTGTTGGGCACCCCTGAGTCTTGGTATCCCAGGATATCTCAGATGCTCCAATGATCGGCACTTGGATGTGGAGGGGAAAGCAGTTCAAGCACGCTGGCGCGACATGGGGGAGTGGCAGTCACTGACAATCAATGCTGCAACACAGCGGCACGTACTGTCTCATCGGGTACTGTCGGGACGTATCGCTGAAATAGTAGGGCTAGCGCAGCAAGCTTTGAGGCAAAGGAGCCTGGCAAGCAGTTGGAGCACGGTGACAAAATTGCTCTTCAGGCGGTCGGTTTGCGGAGCCGTCATCAGCTATGAAGAGAATGTCAGAGAGGGGTATGATGCTGAGGAGGAGAGAATAATCACGAAAGCTAGCATCAGCTAGCTGGAGTTGCTCTTGCTTTAGCAAGTCAAGGGCTCGCAGCCTCGAGAATCATGAATCACGTGAAAACTTCACGTGTAGGGGGGCCCCCCCCCCCCCGCGGGTTCAACTCCCCCCTGGGACGCTTCTGGTACGTGCTATAGTGCTATGTTTAGGTGGCAGGTGAAGTAGGCCACTGTTTGAGTTTGGAAGGGGGGGCATGAAACATGAAATTTACGCGAGGGTTCAAGGCTTCAATGATGAGCATCACGGGAAGTCAGAAACCAGGCGTATCAGATACACATGCCTTTGAGCTTCCTTCGGCATCTCAGTGCATATGGCTGACACTTCACTCGACAAAGATGCTCAAACAAACATACATAAGCCAGGTGTATCTGATACGCCTGGTTTGTGACTTCCCGTGATGCTCATGATGCTGCGTTGCTTTTCTTCAGTCCCTCATTACATATACATGACGATCCAACAGCAGATTCAACAAGCTCACATGTTCATGACATCGACATCGATAGAAGAAACCAAACAAATCATGCAAGCAGCTTTGTTTTGCCTCTGGGACACCTCTTGGGCACCTCTTATGGCATCCACACTGGTTCAACTCCTCCGTGGAGGGTTTGGGATACGGATGGATACGGTGCAACAGATTCAACAAGCTCACAGGTTCGTGAACACATCGGATGCATCGAACAGTGTGGCAAAGTCCAGCCACGCTTCCTTAATTATCGGGGACTTAAATTCTAAGGTTGGCTGTGTCATTGCTGTTTGTGTGTCTTACATGTTCACAACGTTTTACCTCATGAGCATTTGCCTCACTCCGCTTGATGTCCCACCAGTCCGGATGCACCCCTGCTAGCTTTCGTCACCTACCCTCGGCCTCAAGTGTCGTGTGCAAACAGTCAAGTCTGGAAGGGTGACTGAGCCAGTTCAAGATTGCCAGGCTGTCACCGCCAAAACGGAGGCAGAGCTGTTGTTGCACGGGGTGGTGCCAACCCCTCAAAGTGCAGTCGGCTTGCCTGCCACCAAGATATGCGAACAAACATCACTAGCTTCTTGTTACTAGTAGCTACCTGCCCCTAGAAGCGTCCTTGCTCCTAGTAGCGATGCCAGGAGCCCCTAATAGCTAATATGTCGTTTTATTGGCACTTGCTCAGGAGTCCTGTGCCTGATGGTGTCTCGTGATGTTTCTAATATATGTTTAATGCACTGAGGCCAGACGGTATGACGGGCTTGCAAGTTGAAGCTACTGGGGATCCCCAGCAGCCCTGTTGGACATTGCGCCGTGCCAATGGGGCTGGAGCTGCTTATTCTGGGGACGAGGCGCTGTAGATAGTGCACAGATGCTTCCAAGTGTAAAGTGCACAACCAATTGTTTAGGTGTTTGATCCCTGCATATTTCGCATCTCGCTTTATCATCTCACCTCATTTCAGTTTTCCTCAGCTCACCTGGCTTGCCACATGCTTCCCCCCCCGTGTTGCCTCGTTTAACTTCTTGTTCATCTCTCCCCTCACCCACATCAGCCGTCACATCTCACCATACATCACCTCTTCTCATGTTTTCTTAGTCTCACAGTTCACCGTGGATGTTGACTTTCTATGATGCCTCCGACCTCCGGCCAGCGAAAATGATACGTGATTTTTACTTTGGTCGCCTTTAGCAAGCTTTTCATTCACTCCACACCCTAGGCATTATCAACGTAGATCATGTGTATAAATGATTGTAAATGCATATGGGGCACACAAGTGTGATGAACTTGTAGGAGCTCTCACCCACCAAGGTGTCCTTAGAGGCAGCTGGCAAGTTCCTGGGAGTTGTTGATGGCAAAGTGGTGGCCCTGGATGCAGAGTCCAGCTTTACCAAGATCATTCTTGATATCAAGGACCCCAGTCTTGCACATGTGTTTTACAGTTTTGAGAGCTTATGGCACATGGCTTTTGCCCCCAGCAGGGGGGAAGCACTTGCAAATAGATGGGGGTTGTTATGTTGCATTTGCTGTACAAGTCGGAAGATGACCTTGTTTCAAAAAAGGTTGGACAAGATTCTCGGCAAAGTCCAGACAATATGTATCACATATTGTATATTGTGAGAGTTGCAGGCTTTCAGAGCAGATTGACTTTGTTTGTATTCAGCTGCCATTTTTATTTGAGGCCGGTCCGAACATCAGAGCCTGTGAGGCCACATTTGTTCAGGCCTGCGCGGCCCCTGCACTAAGGATGACACGCACTAAGGATGACACGCACAAATCCAGAGAGCTTTCGACAGACGCAGATCCAGGGAATCCTTTCATGAATTCATGTTTCACTTTACCTTTTTACTTCGTTCATCGATCCGCGAGCGAGAAACAGGCCCAGTCCGTTACCAGTTGCGCATTCGCACTGGTAGCGGAGCTGGTGCTCCATGGCTGATGCTTCCGTTGCCGGTAAGCAGTTCTGGTCCGACTATGAGATTGTGGTCGACAAGGAAGGTGTGCCACACTTCACCGGGATGCAGCCTCATTTGATGAAAGAATACCGTCGTAGAGGTCTCTTTGCTTTTGGCAGCTTGGAGGGTGAAGGCGATACGCCTCAGAAAGAAGCTGCCGACCTGGAGAAACGACAGAAGCGATTCGCATTGAAGTTGGTCAATGGGTTGCATGGTGAAGCATGGAGGGCAGTGGAGCATTTAGTCTTGGAGCCCGAGCGTCTGAAGAAAGTTGATGGCTATAAAGAAGTTTTTGCAGCACTGCAATCCATTGAGAAGGAGAGCATCATCAAGAAGACCGAAGCCTTCGACAAGTTCTTTGAGCATTCGACCCAGAAGCGTGGTGAGCCGATCGACGGCTATCTTCGTTCTAAGATCCAAGCGTGGCAAGATTTGAAGGACTTAGATGACGCTTCCGCTATGTCAGAAGATCTCCTCAGCTTTTTCATCCTGAAGGGTTGTGGATTGTCTAAAGAAGATCGGAGGTCCATTTTGCTGGCCAATCGAAATGCTTATGAGCGAAAGGGCATTGAGCAGTCACTCCGTGTCTCCTTTCATGATTTGCATGAGCGCGAGAAGAAGCATGCCTGGCCACAAGATACCCGTCGCCCTCATCCTCGCTACAGCAAGCGTAGCTACCATGTTGCTGAAGATGATGAGGAAGCCGAAGAGGCTTTCTATGAGGGCGAAGATGGAGCTGAGGAATCCTATGATCATGAAGAGGATTGGGAAGCTGAAGAAGCGATGCAGGCCATCTCAGAGGACGTTGGTGAAGAGCCGAATGATGTTGCTTCGAACTGCGGAGCTAGTGAAGATCAAGAGGTCTATGAAGCCTATGCGGCAATGGACAAGCATCGTGGCGGCTACCAGCAGGCCAGACGCCGCTTGAGAGAAGTGCAGAAATCCAGAGGATTTTACAAGACTCCCGGTTCAGATGATCGCCAAGCATTGGTCAACCAGGAGAAGCAGAGGAGTCGTTGTGGAGCTTGTCACAAGTTTGGCCACTGGGCCGGAGATCCGATTTGTCCCAAAAGCAGTTCCACCAATTTGGGCAAAGGCAGTTCGAAGGGCAAGGGTAAGAGCCGTGGCAAGAGCGGCAAGTCGAAGGGCCGTGGTCGTGCGGCCTACATGGTGTCATCGGAGCCAGCTTATTTCAATCTGGGTGATCTGGATGAGGATGAGCTGCAGTTGGTGATGGAAGATGATCCGGAGCTTTGCTACATGGTGCATGGAGTTGATTCGGAGGAGGAATGCATGGTTCAGGATGCTGGCTACACCGAGCAGGACGACAAGCGAAAGAAGCCGGCGACATCGTATGCCGAGTCAGAGTGGGACAAGATCAGTGAGGGTGACAAGCAATGAGACGACCTTGATGGATGCGATGCCCGCAGCTGGCGGAACTAGTTTTCTGGACATACGTTCAAGACCAGTGCCGCCGTCGGAGGGTTTTCCACAGGACATGCCTTCAGACTCGAAACCCGCTCTTGAAGAGAAGAAAGCTGATGAGGAATACACACCGTCGGAGCCCCGACCAGCAGATGAACCAGCTCCACAGCAGTCAGACAGGCAAGATCTTTCAGCTAGCTCGACTTCGATGGGTCGCATGGAGTTAGAGTCGGAACGTGACAGAAAGCGTTCCATAAAGAGCTATGAGTTCTTCGAGAGGAGAAAGAAAGAACGTGGTGCCAAAAGAGTTGAGCGTGAGAGACTGCCGCCTTTGGCAGACTTGCCTTTGAAAGAGGCGTTGGAGATTCCGGCGGGGCCGGAATATGACCCAGACTTGGACAGCTTTCGACAGGCTATTCCTACAGAGGTTCCTCCAATACCAGAGGCAACAGACACAACAGAAGCACAAGAGCGCGTGTGGGTTCTGCAATGCCGAGACCATGACAGATGTTGGACAAAGCTCCTCTTGTTTCAAAGTTTTGGCAGAAGCAGATTTCCTGGTAGGTCAAGCAAGACAGGCGTTTTGTGAGAAGGCTGAAGCTTACAGTGCAGTTGAGGTCACAGAAGACAGATATGAGAAGCTTTCAGAAAGTTCCTTGAAGAGCAATTCCGCGCAGGTTCCAGAAGAGGTCAAGAAGAAGAAAGCCCGAAAGGATATTTATTTGAAGGATCTTGATCCACAGACCAGAGCTTTAATTGAAGGCCCCGGAGGAGCTGACGAGAAAGAGTGGAAAGCTTGGTTGGACAAAGATGCTTGCGAGGTTCTTTCCATAGAAGAGAGCAAGCAGATCCTTCGAGACAAGTCAGATTGTGTCATTCCAACACGTTGGGTTCGCGTGAACAAATCAGAGGGCAAACCGGATGAGCCTTTCTTTGCGAAAAGTCGTTTGGTAGCGCAAGGGTTCAAAGACAAAGCGCTTGGTCAATACAGGCGTGATGCACCGACAGGTTCATCGTTGGCTGAAGCACTAGTTTTGACCCTTTCAGCATTTTTCGGCTTTCGCATGATTTGCAAGGACATCAAGAATGCATATTTTTCTGGCAAAGAGATTGGCCGTGAGTTGTATCTTTTACCTCCGAGAGGAGGTTTGCCAGGGCTCAAAACTGGACAGGTTCTTCGAGCGAAGAAGGCCATCTATCTATGGCTTTGCAGAAGCTGCTAGATTGCTTTGGCTTGCGTTGAAGGAGCATCTTCAAAGTGACGGCTGGACAGAGTCCCGGCTAGAGCCGGCTTTGTTTTACCTGAGAGGTCCTGACAACAGCCGCAAGGGTATTTTGGTCACACATGTTGATGACATCCAGGCAGGCATTGATGCACAGTACATGGAACAAGCTTTTCAGCGTTCATCCTTGGCACTTGAGTTTGCAACAAATCATTTCGACAGTTACACCTTTAGAGGCCGAGAGGTCCGACAAGTTGCGGGTAACCACATTGATGTCACAATGAACAACTATGTCCGCAGCATGCACAAAGTTTCCATTAGCAAAGATCGGAAGATGCATCTTGAAGCTCGACTAACAGCTAGCGAGAAAGACATTTTACAATCTTCGGCTGGCGAATTGGGTTGGGTGACAAGACAACTGAGATGTGATCTTGCATACGACAATGGATGCGTACAAAGGTGCAAAACTGATCCTAGTGTTGCAGTGTTGTGAGGCTTCGTTCCACAGTTGCCGCAGCACGCAGAGCAGCAGATTTTTTCGTTTGCGGTATTGGTCAGATGTTGATAAGGAGACATTGATCTGAAGAATTGGGATAAAATAGTAGAGTCCCGAGAACGGGTCTATGTCACGGATCCACGATCCGTATTCGACTACTTGAGCAAAGAATCGAAGGCGCATTGTTGAGGGAGACGGTTCGTCGACCAAATGCTCATACACGTTGGATAGACGGAGAACAGAACTTGGCAAATATCCTTACAAAGTTTGGAGCAAACAAAGGCATTTTGTTTCAATACCTGAAGGATGGTTTGTTGAGCCTTGTTCAAACAGAGGCAAACAAGAAATCGAAAGAAAAGAAACGCTTGCAGTGACAGACACGTCGCAAAGTGCTGAAGGAAGACCCCATGAAGCAGAAGATCAAAGATGATCGAATCAAATTATTTGGCACGACAGATGCAGGCAGAGGCAGCTGAATCATCTCCAGATGAAACCGCTACAAAGTCAACAAAGAAAATATAATTGATGTGAGAGTTGCAGGCTTTCAGAGCAGATTGACTTTGTTTGTATTCCGCTGCCATTTTTATTTGAGGCCGGTCCGAACATCAGAGCCTGTGAGGCCACATTTGTTCAGGCCTGCGCGGCCCCTGCACTAAGGATGACACGCACAAATCCAGAGAGCTTTCGACAGACGCAGATCCAGGGAATCCTTTCATGAATTCATGTTTCACTTTACCTTTTTACTTCATTCATCGATCCGCGAGCGAGAAACAGGCCCAGTCCGTTACCAGTTGCGCATTCGCATATATAAAATATTGTTGTCATGATGTGACCCTTCTCCTGTGATGACTTCAAGATTCGGTGCCCATTTCATATTTCTTTCACCTTGCACCGAGTTCTTTGACCAGCTAAAGCCTCCAAACCTTGCTCGCTGCGGGCAAGCTGCTGTCGTCCATATTGCGCTTCTGACCTGCATGTGCTTTGGCAACCAGGAGGGCACGGTGTGCTCTCCTGTCAGCGTGAATGCTGGTCTCATGTTGTACCAGAAGGATCCAAAAGGTAGAGCAAATCTCAGCTCCATGCCAGGCCCAAGTCGAATCATGCTAATGCCAATGTACTTTGCGTGGCTGCATGCACAGGATCAAATACAGCTGGCTCGGCACTAGGCTTCGACTTGAGTTTGCCAACCTCCCAAGCATCTCCAAAGCAAGTGCAAGCTGATTAACCGATACAACCTGACTTAACGGGCCCAAAACCGAAAATGGGCCTTACCAGCACACCAGAGCCAAGGCCTTGTTGATACGCTGAACACACACAGTAATGATCTATGAGATGTTCTTGGGATTTGGCAGTGAATGTTTTTCTATTTTTTTTCGAAGGGCTCATGGTTGTCGCTATGCAACCATGATATGCTACACTATAATAAATATATATATATATATATCCAGCAGTTTGAACAACAAGCCCTTGCAGAGATTTTGGAGACAAGAGACGTGTGGGAAGCATTGCTGTGATGATCTGTACAATGGCTGAAATCGATTTGCTGACAAATGCGCTTTCCACTCATTCACCATGGGCCACCGCCTAGTCGATCAAATGGAATCCCTTCCACTGGACCCAACCTGTATACCTGTGGGGTCGGCAATTTTTCACATATATAAGATGTTGCCAGTGAGGTTGCCAATGTTTTTTGCAGTGTGCCATTGTCAGCGTGCTTTTGGCAGGATCAAGCTGCCCCAATGCGGATTGGTTTCACAGCAACGCTCATTGATGGTTTTGAAGATGTGGAGTGGTTTGGCCGTGGTCCTCATGAGTCTTACTTGGATCGCCATGCGTCTGCTAAAGTTGGGCTCTACCAAGGAAGCATTGCTCAGCAAACAGTGAAGTATGTCCGCCCTCAGGAAAATGGAAACAAGTTCCAGACTAGGTGGATGGCCTTGAAGCGAAAAGAAGCTGATCCCTGCAACATGTTGTTCATTGCTGCAAAGGACGGATGATGAAGCAGAGTGCTGCATGCTGGAGCATTTGTATAGTTCAAGGTTACGTTGGCTCATGTTTGAAGATGATCTTGCTTTTGGATTGTCTTGATGCAGGAGCCAAGCCCAGTGCTGGAAATGCAATGTCATCGATACGCGCTTTCAGACTTCGACGGAGGTGAAGACAAGCCGACGCAGAGATTCTTGCATTCTGGTGAGCTGGAACAGCGTCCAACTACCGCTTCTCGGAGATAAGACACAATGCGTTCCCATTGTTGACAATCCTACAACAAGTGCAAAATATATAAAGTTCAAACCCCAGAGGATGCTCCCTAAGCCGAGGGGTGGACGTTGCAATTGCAAACCAAAAGATATACTGTAAAGAGCGTATGGAGAGAATCCTTTTGAGGCCTCTCGAGAGGCCTCAGGGCCGTAGGTTGCGTACAATATGCCGTTATAACATGTTTTATTATATACCACATAGAGACATAGAGTATATATACAGGTTTAAGTCTGATGCGGTTGGCTGTCAGTGAAATGCACGGCTATGCGGCTATGCTCGCAGGCTTTGTGCATTGATGCCATTCAAATGGGCGTGGGTGGCATTGACTCGTGGGGGAACAAGCCATTGGTGGAGCACATGATCGGAGCCCAGCAACAAGCGGAGTGGGCATTCCAGCTAATACCCAGCGCCTAGGTGAAACATCTGAGTGAATTGTGTTTTCAAGTGGGTTTGGCAGTCTGCATGTCCCGGTGGTAAGGCAAAGAAACTCACGATACCGAATGGCGGGCTCATTTGCCTCAACTTGGTGGATACACTGCAAGCAAGTAGAACTCTACTTGGGAGACATGTGCAGCCTGCCGATTGCAAAGCTCCAACGGCAAAAGAGAATTGGGTGCAAAGTGCTGGTGTATGTGGCATGGCTTGGCACTTGGGTTTTTGCATGTGGTTGAACATAAAGGCCAGGATCATTTGCGACTTGGTGAGTGTTCTACATTGGCGGCCATGTGGGTAGACCCTCAGCTGGCCTGAATGCTTGCAAGGAAACTTGTTATTATTGTTTGGCAAGTAAAGGATCATGCATGACAGCCATTCAGCTCAAGCTTTGCTGCGTAGCCACGTGCCAGCTGAGAAGACGGAGAGGCCCCAAACATGGCAATCACGGGCCACTGCGACATTGAATAAACATCCCAAGGCTTGTGGCCCCAGCATTTGCAAATGTTTGCAGGTGCATGCATGTGTGCGCAATATTTGTTATTCTTTGCGGGGTTATGTTGTGCTTTGTTGTGCTTGAGTGATTAGCACAAAATGGCACAACGATTCTGAGTGTAGGTGTGGAGGTGTTTGGTTATTGAACCAGTGCGTTTGTTAGATGCAATGCATTGTACTGTGAAAGCCAGCCGATAGGCTAGCATGGAGTGCTTGATGGGCGAACGAGGTGAGTATTAGGTTTACAAGGGCCTTGATGATGCGAGTGATGCCGAAGAGGTTGAGTAGTGCGTCATTAACATCACGACGTAGGCAGGATACCATTTAAGTGACCACGGGCATCATGAGCTATTTCAGCTATTTCTTCTTGTAAACTTAGCATATATCGGTGTCGGCATTTTGTTTTCTTGCCTTATCCTTTGGACCTGCAAAACAGTCATTTTCTTCCTCACTCATGCCCTTGACACCCATGCCTTTGAGCCAGAGCATGTTTGACCTAGTTGTACCTATTGCAAGTTGAGAAACTCTTCGCAAGCAAGAGGGGTGCTTGGCCTGCGCTGGCTGGCCGTCAAAGTTGGCAATTTTAATGTCGGTGAGTTTCCCCTGCTTGGGCAAAAGTAGGGCACTGGCTCCACGTCAGTCAGGCAAGGCAAGAACCCGGTCAGCAGGGTGAGCACTTGCTGACCTAGCCAAATTAAAGTGCTCTTCCGGCAGCAAGAGTTTGGGACACGGCTGGTGCCGCTGAGGGATGCCCACCTGAAGGCAGCCGAAGATAGGAAACGCTCGGAGAGCTCAGAGAGCTCAGAGCCACTTGAGTTTTATTGACCACATCGGTCTATTTGACCGGTGCCGGTGCGCAGGGAACATTGAGCCCTCGTCGTTCAGAGAAGAGAATTGCTTTGTACATACTCAACATGCTAGCCTTGGTCTTTGGGGAAGATTTGGTTCTGAGGCGAAGCCGATGCTAGACAACGCCATTGCAGGCAGCATGCTGAGGCACCAGATGTCATTGAATTCACGTAGGATCACGTAGGCAAACTAAATTGCTCCGATGCTTCAATATGTTTCAGTGCAAAATAGTACTGTACAAATATGCTTTGGTTCGAAGGCTGAATCTGTGCGTGCAGAAATTGCTCGCTTGGAGAGAGATGAGAGGAGGCCAATTTTGGACTAGAAGAGGTTTTGTACTGAAGCCAGGGCTCTTGTAACAGGTCGATTTTTGTTCAATGGAGTTTGCCATTATGGTGTGCAAAAAATATTGGTGTTCCGATGCTCACTTGTTTAAAGCCATTGACCATTGATTATTGGACGGAAGGAGGTTGAGTGAATTGTGCCGCAGGATTCAGTCAGAAGAAATTTCAGAGGAGAAGTCAGAGAAGAAGCTCCGGCAGGAGATTTGCCTTGCAATAGTTTTGGCTTTTCGAAATCCATGTGCTGACTGTTTGCTTTGTTGCTCACTCTAGCCTGGCCTGGCGACCGGCAAGGGGTGATATGACATACGTATATACATAATATATATATATTTCTGTATATCTAACTATATATATATAGCCATATCCTATAACATCCCCCAAATCACAAGCCTTGTGCAGGAAGTTCAAGACCAAAGAATTAAGCTTGATGCTTGCCCATCTAAGTTGCCAAACGAGCGGCGACTGCCTCAGCGACCCGCAAAACTTCAATCAACTTGAGCACTGCCAGCAGCAAAGCTTAGGCTTCGGCAGGCAGATGAGGAAGTCGACCTCGTTTGCCAGAAACTCTGCCACGGCATGGTTTCTAAGCTTCCCTCGTTTGCCAATGCTTGAGCTGAGGCATGAAAATCTCGCAGCTGCAGCAATCCGTAAGCGTTAGACAGGCGTGATGTGGTTGGCCGTTGGTGACCGGTGTTTGGGGGGTTGCACATATTTGGCTTATTGCTTGGCACACAATGACATCAAACTTGCTGGTGTTTGCTTGACTTTCAAGAAGTCCGAGTTTCCTTGGTGGGTTGTGCTGCCTTCTTCTTACTCACTATAAGCAATAAAGTTTACGAAGGCAACTGGGACTCAGCTTCGCTCGTGATGAACTAAGATGACCAGCCTCATCAACTAGCGCTTAGGTCTTTGGTCTTGGACGTCGCTACATCAGTGGTCAGCACCCCGAGAAAAAGAGACGAATAAAGAAGGTAAGGGGCATCTAGTCTAAAGATGTCCTAATCCTCCTTTCCTTGTTTTATTTGCTTTTCCTTGTCCACTTGTCCATTGAAGACTTTACGAGGTCTTCTATTCTTTCCTTATTCCCAAAAGCATCTTTGCTGCTTGGGTTCTGGCCGGTTTTGCAAAAGGAGTTTTTGAGAGATTGATGGACATGCGCTGCCTTCCGGTACGGGCTAGCGGAGGTGGGCGACCAGCCGACGACCGGCGCGCTGACAGCAAACACTTTGTGGAGAGAGCATCGGGAGGAAGAAGTTAACGTGCTGCATTTTTGCTGGATGCCGTAGTATGTACCTTGCAGCACGGGCTGGAGTATGAACTAGATGTGGAAAGACCTTGCGGCACGGGCTTGCGGGAGGGGTGCGGTCAGGATCTAAGACTAAGATCGGCGCGTGACAGTACCACCAACACCACACTTCCACCACTCTTCCACCACTACTACCACGCCACCACACTACCACCACCACACCACCATACCACTACGACTACTACAGCTAGCACCACAACGACTATCTCTACGACAACCACCACTACTCCTGCCACATGGACAGCAAAATCATTTTCTCACTCATCACTCTGATCTTTTGAGCGCTACTTGGGGTCTCTTGCTGGGATACTTCTGTTTTTCATTAAGAGTATTGTTAAGGCATGCTAATAAGGTCTGCCTTGACCGTCACCACCCCTCACATATATAAGAAGCGTCCTCCACGTGCGAAAGGGAAAACCCACAACATCCCACAACCACTCCCAAGACTCTGCATCACTGCGTGCAACAGCACTTTTGTTTTCTTTTCTCCCCCCACTACTGTCAACCGTAGTTCCTACATGAAACAAAGATACTTCATTGAAAGGTTCCACATGCATGTTTCAGTTACTATCACCTTCACGACAGGAAAAGCTGGAGCAGGAGCGCAAGAACCAGGCACAGTGCAGATGCACTTCCTGCGTGACAAGTCGGTTGACATGCAGATATGGCATCAAGTAGCATGATGCTGACTGCCAAAAACACGAGTGCATACCAGCAGATTTGCTATTCATCAATAGCATGTGATTTGCTATCAAAAGTACCTCGCCTTGAACCAGGTGGATGCCTTGCTGCTGGAGTGTCAGGAGTCTTGACGAGCAAGGTAATGTCAGAAGAAGGTGAAAGAATAGAAACAACAAATATTCATGTGACAGAAGCGATGAAACATGGAAAAGCAGATGGCCAAGGGCCAAAAAGGAAGCAATTGAAAGAGATTGTCAGGTTTGACTGGGTTTGACTTTTCCTGCCACTGGCGAAGGCCAAAATGGCAAACTGGAGAAAAAGGAAACAGCTTTGACACCAAGTTGCTCCAAGTCAAGTTGACCACAGCTTCAAAAGAGCGATCCAAAAAGGTTCAGAAAAACCTGCTGGAAAACTTGAAGAGGACATCACGTCACTATGCATGGCCAAACAAGTGCGGGCCAGTTTCAACTGACGAAGGCAGCTTCCACGCTCCGAGTGATTGACCCAAGTTTCAAGCCGTCGGATAATCCAAAGCTGCCTTTGCCATAAGCAGACGCAGAGGTTGCGGCTCTCTTCTTCACCGAGGGACCACCTGGCTCCGGTGTGATTCACGGATTACTTCTTGGGCGCAGATCGACAGCTTTCGCAACCAGACCACCCAACAGTTCTACCAATGAAGGTACAGTAGCTGCTATAGCTGAGATGGTCTTCCAGGCGGATGGAGCATATGGGAGCCCTGTTTGCGCTGTTCAAGCCTGGTACTCTAGCTCAGTCAGCTCAACGCTGTTCCCATAACTTTGCCGCGGCCTTTACGAGATGTGGAGGATGTGCAACGACATCACTGTGACATCACAAACGCTACACTTGAATTTTGACAATTAGACGCTATGTTGCGTGTTAACTGGAACCTGAAACTGTGCCATGTGCTGGCTGGAGGGAACTCAGTATCGAACCAGCTGCTGTATCATTTATAGCTGAGCCTCCCTAAATCACCAAAAATGTGGCAACATTGAGGCAATTGGAAAGCTAAACTTTTAAGTTCAATGACAGAAAGATGAATCAGCCATTGCCAAGAGTGGGCGCTTTGGTGCCCACCGTCTCAGGCGCTGATCGTTGGGACTGAGTTGTGGGCCGTAAAACCTGAATGCCGCCTTTCTGTGAACTTAGAGTGGACTTCGGCAGGAGATGAAAGATCAGCTTGGGAAAGCACGCAAGGCCGCCTTCAGAGATTAGCTTCGACCAAAAAAGTGTTGCTTTTTGTGTGCCGCGCTACTTGCAACATCTTGCAACCCGTATGCCCGTTTTGAGGAAATTATCCACACAAGACTACATGGGACAATGTAAAGTAAGGCATCATTTCTCACCTATATAGATTCCCTTCCAACAAACTCTGCCATCAAAAGCCGAAGAGGCGGAAGCTGATGAGGTGCCTTTGGCTCAGGCGCATCCGAACGCCGCTGCGTGTGGCCTGCGAACGATGTCAATATATTATGCAGTGGTGAATGCGTTGGCTGAATTGCTTGCGGTAAGAGTATCTAAGAGTCTTGTGGTCGGCTGGTTGTGTTTGCAGTGAGGGTGAGACACAGCCATCCGCTGGCCACAGCAAATGAGATGCGTGCCTGCAGCCGCCCCTTGTGGTTCGGAGCGTTAGCCCGTACAAGTTGTTTGCCTTTCGTGAGCCAGGCACTTGGAACTTCTGTTTTTGGTTCAAGACATTCACGAGCATGCCATTTCTTGACTCGCATCTGAGGTGACTTCAAGGACCTTGTATCCATATTTGATGCTGTCTTCCATTCGAACAATTCCGTTTTGCCTCTTCCTCTTCCTTCTATGCCC